CTGTTACATACATTTTAACAAAACCATTATACCCTGATTTCCCATTTTCAATGGGTTCAGGGTATAAAAACAAACGGACAAATATAAACAAATCTGACATAGTCCAAATGAACAGCCAGTGGATAATTTTTGCATCCATCGATGCCAGCTGCAATTTGTCTCACTCTGCACTGTGATTAGCGCATAGGTCACTGTTTAATTGTCGATTACGCGCTGATTTGTTGGCCAAGACAATTGAGGCAATCAACGGCGTAGCGCAGACCAGCTTTACGGAATAATATGCCAATTACGGTTGATTTGCATGACTTTTGCTGCCTCGTTTGAATGGCGACGCAACTATTTCGATCTCGAGCTGACTGAATATCCAAGATGTGAGGTTCTTCTGATCTGAGCCGTCAGAAATACATATGGCCTGCCTATAGCTCTATAGATAGCGCATTTAGATTTAAGAAACGGCGGACAGAGAGAGAGGATGAAGAGATGGACGGAAAGGATGACAGAAGGACGATTGAAAGGATGCACCGTAAGACGAACGGAAAGAAAAGGACAGAGAGAAGCAGGCAAAAACGAACAGACGGATGGTTAAAAAGACAGATCAAACACAGAGAGAGAGAGAGAGAGAGAGAGAGAGAGAGAGAGAGACAAGACAAAACGATCGAGAAACAGTGAACTTAGGCAAGCCTTCTTCAGTGCCTTACACGTAAAGACTCTGCTTACCCATTGTGCTGGGTATAGAAACACAGAAATCGGACTTGCTCAGCTGCATGGGGAGTCTTCCTTGAGGGAGGAAATGATTTATTCATCAACTTCTAAAATCTGATGAAGCCCAGTCCTCAGAGTCCTGAAGATTGCTTTGACATTGCATGTATGGATACTTTCCGCCTAGAGTATTTGCATAGAGTGTCTCCATGCATTTTCATTTATTTAACTATGAAACGATATAACTTCAACAAGGGCAATTGAAGCGCTCTGACTTTCAAATGGCAACAGAAGAACTAGCTGGAGCAGCATCAGCATCAGCAGCAACACGTCAGCCCAGACAATCCAACAATTTCCTCTGTGGGATTGCCCCCTAGTGACACACACACACACACACACACACACACAGAGAGACATAGAGAGAGAGGCAAGTCGAGCAGCTCAGCTGGCTGAGTTGGCACAGCTGCCTTATATAATCTTTGAGCTAGCTGCTCGTCGAGCAACAAGCACACATCACGCATACGACGCGTTGCGCCCCGTATGCGCCGCGACGGTAGCCACGGCAATTGCAGCTTGTTGTTACCATTATAACATGTTGCTAGCACACAGCACAGTGGCAGCAACTAGCACGCAGCGATTATAGTATATTGTTGCTGTTATGCTTGATGTTGCTGCTGATGCTGCCATTGTTATGGTAGACAATTTGTTACTGGCTGCATTTTCAAGTGGCAAACGAGACGCGCTTGCCAGTCAGTCATTAAGTCGCAGCCGCCTGCGGTTGCCGTTGACGACGAATCAGCGCGTTCCAGTCGGCTGCAACCGACTGCGAAATACCCGTTTACAAATAGATAAATCGCTTGCAGTTCCCATTAGACATAGAAGATGCTTCGACCCCAGAGCAGCCCCTAGCACAATATGCATTCTCGAGTAAACAGCCTAGTCTCTGCGATCTCTTTAGTAAGCACCCCATGTACTCCCTCTCCACTCTGAAACGTAGTGTATGACAGACAGTCAGGCGTTAGCCACATCGAATGCTGTCAGCCCGCTCCAAATGCCAGTGCGACAAATTTATTATTAATTTATTTTGTGTGATCGATAATTTCCGACATGGCTCTAAAATCTTTGTGTGATTCGATTAGCTGGGACATGTCTGCTGCATGTTAAGTGTATTTACACAGCCAGCCTTGTGTGAGGCAAGTGGGAGGTGTGCCCAACTAGGAGATACCCTGCACTTAGCCCGATTTCACAACGAACACCCAATCAACAGAAGACTCTAGTGAAGAAAAAACAAGAAATATGAATATGTGCGGGTGTGTGTGTGTGGGCGAGTGTGAGTAAAGATATATGCATATATGTATATATTTTAATATGCATTACATCAGATAATTTGAACATATTTTACATAAGATTTGGACTTAATACACATGTATTTTTTGAGAGAGGAAAATGTGGGCGAATTATTTGGTTAAACATTGATTTTATGTATGTCATCTTCTGCAGCATCATGTTTATGCGTGCAACAGTTCGCCTCGAATAAGTAGTTCGACTTATGGCAACTCACTTGCCCAACAGATTTCTATGTAAATTTTATTTGCTTTGTGATTTATGGCGATTTGCTTTTATTACCACATAAAGTGCAGGAACACGTCTTAAAGTCATTTCGGAAAGACTTGAGTTTGAGATCTGAGAAATGTGGCTGCAAAATGGAGCTGAAAATTTGTGGAACAAATCTCAAAAAGTTCACAGCGCCCAATAAAAAACTCTGCCAATCTGTAAATCCAATTTGCAATTGCAAACAGAAATATGTATTAAAAAAACAAAATATGTAAATCTAAGCATCTGCTGAGCTCAACAGTTACATATAATTATATATATTAAAGATTGGCTGCGAACACCTCTTCGACCAAGCGACTAATTATTAGTGAGAGGCTGTGCTAAAGCTGTGTCAACAGCGTTCGCTTTAGTGATCATCGGTCGTAGGCTCGCGTCAGGTTTGCTTCAAGTTTTGGACTCGATCGCTCGGCCCCCGGCAGACTACAGCGTGTCTGTCCTTCACATTTCAACTGTGCCATTATGACGCAGCATGGGGCACTTGTTATACGATCCAAAATACAAATTACAAAAAAGAAGAAAAAAAAAAAAATACCTCAATACTGTTGCTGCATGATTTTAAAGTACTCGAAGCAAGTTACTAATTGGACTTGAGCAATGATCAGCTCAGCTCAGCTCAGTTCGGCCTGAGCACAAGCAGCAGCACTTATGCATTATTTATAAAGGCAGTTGAGTTTATGCACTCACACAGCGCATAATAAGTCTCAGCTGTGCGTGCCGATCCTTTAAATATTTAGCAGTTTTTTAGTCGCGCATTAGTTTCTAGGCTAAGTTGCTGTGCTTAGCCGGCCATAATGAGGGCTAATTGAAACTGAGAGCTGATCACTTAAGTTGTCGTAAAAGCTTTTATAGCATCTAAGCTAATGGCCACATTCCAATTTATGGTGAACTTGAAAAGACGAAGGCTCTCCACTAATAGACAGCTCCGAATACTTCAGCTGAGGCAGACTGCTCGAAAATTCCATCCACAAGAGCGGAACTCATCTAGCCTCACTCCTCCAAGTCGAATTAGCTACAGCTACAGTTTGAGACGCATTGCTTAGCTATGCAGTTTAAGAGATATGAATTTACGTTCTTTCCTGGCCGATCCTGTTTGCCACATCTTATGTGTGGCTCGTAGGGTATGCCGCATTCGTTGTCACTCTGTTTTTCTTTCCCTTTTTGTGTGTGCTTCAATATTATTTTCTGTTTCTCTCATACATTATCATATATTAAGTTGGTTAAGGTCAAACAACTTATCCGAACAGACGCAGATTAATGTGTATCTTGAATTTTATGTTAATGCGTGGCTGAAGTCCACTAATGAAGTATGTTTTGTCAAATTCATTTGTTTGTTCACTCCAATAAAATGCGATAATATCGGGGTGCCAAAGCTGAAATAATCAAATTGTCATCCAAGTCGAGACATCACAATGGTTTTACCTGCATCCGTAGCCCTGGCCCTCATTTCAGACCCATTCATTAACGTGGTAGAGATGCTTGAGTGATTCGGTAGATCAGAGCTGCGGCTCGAGCTCCACACACTTTCCGGACTACGGAAAGTTCACCCATTGAACTAGTTAAACCGCTTAGCCGGAGTCTTCTTCAATGGGAATTGGTTACCTTCAGCCGTAAGCCACAACTAACTTCCAAACTGCTTCGCTATGAACTATTGATTTTCGCAGATTGTGTGGGCGAGCATGGCGTAACCGCAAACAAAATATGCTGGCCCTTGCCTCGAAACTTTTCGAATATATCGCTCTTTGCGGTTTGCCGGCTAATTTACGTGGGCTTGCAATTTTAGCACTTTGTCTGATGCGATTATAGCAAAATGTGTATAGATATGTACGCGTGCATACACACAGCTGTATATATTTTTAATTTACAGTCTCTAGTCTGGGAGGCCCTTGAAATATATCCATTCGTTCAAACAGTCCGACAAGAAGCTATAATTTTTAATGATCATACTAAAATTGTATTGCCAATGATAACGAAGTTCACAAGAGGAGCAAAAATATTAGTTTTGACACAAAAATACATAACACAATTATCATAATTATTTAAAATAATAATGGCAACGAAACTGAACAAAAATATGAAAATAAAAAAACACTATAATTAAATTTAATGATAAAATCAATTACAAGTCACGTATAACTATCAATAGTAAAAGTATTATATATATTAATTATTTAAATGAGAAAAAAACATTTGTTTTGCAAATATTTTGTAGCTTACATAAGTATTTTTAGGAAAAATTATTTATTTACAACTATTATAATTGCTATGGGTCATAAATTATTTCCATGTATCTTAAAATATGTAAAAACAAATAATATGTGATATTAAAAAGAGTTAATAATAATAATAATTATGTGAGGCTGAAACTTAAATAAAATCTCCAAGTTTTATTTTGGGTTAAACACAGCTACGTTTACGAAAGTTTCGTAAACTATATCGTTGATCGTATATATGTGTGTGTATGTATGTATGCACATAGACACAGCCGCTGTGCGTTAAAAATAACATTTTTGTCTGATTACCTTATTGACAAGCCTCTTCCGTCCTCAGTGCTAATTGGTATCCAGTATGGGTACACAGCAGCAACGACTGCGGCTGCTGCTTAAAATGCACAGCGTTTGCTTTGATGACGTCGCCTGGAGTGTACACAGATACATACATGCAGATGTAGGAATATGTACACATACATGTATGTATCTCATGCTACCTTGCGTCGATTGTATTCGAGTCAGTTTGGCCAATTTGAAATTCATTAAGACTAGCAATAAAAATCAAACAGCTTTGGCCCAAGAGTTGTTCCTTCCCTCGTTAAAACTTAACAATTGCCGCACTAAGTTGACAAACTGCTTAAATATGATAGATCATTAAGGGCAGCAGCAGCAGCAGCAGGGGCAGGGGCAGGGGCAGCTGAAGGGCCGGTTCACCAGGTGACGGCGCACAATGGAGAGCGGCCGGCAGCTCAGAGATGACAATAGCGAAACAGTTTGCTGCTGCCCAAACTGAGAAAAGTTTGCTTTTCTTTATAGCTGCGGTCGCCGCCGCTGGCACTAGCATCCGTCCGTGTATAAAGGCAACTTCCGCGCTGACTTTTGAGACAATTAAACACACAACAATAACAATAACAGCAATAACAATGACAATAACAACAACGAGTCGGGTAACTCGCAGATTAACGTCTCGCTAAGCAGCCAGCTCCGCCTGGGAATCGTATTGATAGTTGTTGCCAGACAATGGACTCGCATTAAAGTGATTTAACTGTATTTAAAACTACTGCGGCTCTATGCAGTACTTCATTGAATATCAACACAAATACACATTCACATTCAATACCCCCGACTCAAGAAGTCAGCCCATGCCCGCTTCAGTGCTCAAAGCGGCCGTATTAGCTTTCCATTGCGTTCCTTGTACTCAGTTACTTTTATCTAAAGCATAAAAATAATTATGGTACATATATATATAATATATATGACATGACATAACAATCTCACGACAGTCTTTCAGATGTTTGAACTTGATTTTGTCTAATATGAAAACTTTTTCTTTTACATTTATCTTCTCTCTCTTCGCTTATGCCTCTTATTGGTAAAGCCTCTTTTGCTGATTATAGCGTGAATTTATACGTGCAATAGGAAATCCCTTTATAAATCAAGCACAATCTTCAATGTTTTCAGTCCCTCTCACTCTCTCATTACTAATTTACCTCGTCTCAGATTCAGTATATTTGCAGTATAAATGGATTCTTTATTATAGAACTCTGTGGATCTGTGTTAGCTTAATTCAGATTGACACAATTGCCTTAGGGATAAATCAAAGAAGATTATACAGTTTAGACCGCGATCAGCATTTACACAGCACACAAATGCTGCCTATCTATGCCTAATATAGACCCACTCGAGTCAGGGCTCTTATATTAATTATAAATATATATAAATATTTAAATATTAGTGTACTATAAGGAGATCAAAACATATCAAAATTTAAGTGGAATATAAGCCTTCTTTATATATGCAAATTTGGATGATTAACTCTGTTTTATATTGCTATACTCACAAGTATAACTAAACTGAGCAAAAAGGTTGGGATAAAAAAATGGCTCTGTGAATGACATATTTAGCATTTCGCAATTTCAGGCCTTGTGTTTGTAGCTTGACGCTTATATATCGCCGTTGAAGCCAACAGAAACAAATGGGCATATTTTGCAGAGCATTGTGCGCCCCGAATATACTCTTCGGGCACTTGGTTAGCGAATATAAATGACTACAACAAAAAAGAATAAAATTCAAGTTGAATTGGTAAAGCGTCTATCGAGGGGTACCTGCATATTAAATTGTTGCTGCTGCTGCTGGGTAGCAAATGCAAAAACAATTGTTATAATAGGCAAATGCAATTATCGTTGCAGCTATTGCATGTCCAATGACTCGTGCTGTTGATTGTCCAAGTCATCTCGTACGGCTGCCGTGCAAATTGAATGCACTTAAAATATTTTTGTGCAATATTTTCTTGGACTTAGCTTCGTCGCAATTGTCATTAACGTTTACAACTTTTTGTACCAGTCATTTACCGGGGAGTCCGCTCTCCTTCTGTCTTCCCCCCCCCCCCCTCCTCCCCCTCTCTTTCTCTCGGTCTCCGTTGTCCGTACTTGTGTTTACCTTTAAGTGGAAACTGTGCAAGTTATGAACAAGTTTTTGTTGTCCGGTGGCTAAAATGACTACAGACTATCGAGCGGGCGCCCCAACTGGGACACTCAAGAGCGCTGACTGAGTGCAGATTAAGGCCGAGTTCATCAGGTGAACAAAAGAGGAAACACAACTTGGCGGCTTACTGAAAGCTTACCAAAAACTAAACACTTTTCGGATCTCTTTGGACTGCAGCGAGCCCATTGAAAATCGTTGAAGAGCGAAAAGACGTAATTATCAGATTTATAGAGCAGGCTGAGCCTCGCCGGGCGTCAGCTCTACTTGTAAAATACAAAAGTATTCAGGTATATCAAGTGCAAAAAGTATAGAAAGTACATAAAGTATCAAAAGGATATAAGGTATGTGTGGTTAATACATTCTATAAAGTATGTAGAGTACATAAGGATTTGGAAATGTGTAAAGTATATAGCGTACATAAGGTCAATAATGCATTTGAAGTAAAGTATAAAGTACATAATCTGTAGAAGGTATAAATTCTAGAAACTATATAAAGTATATGGAGTAAAAATATATAGGAAAGGAAGGTGGAACTTGAAGAGGATTAAATTAAATGTAGAAAGAATAATCTATTTTTGTTATATTCTATATATATTGATCAGAGATGCAAAATTCTTACTTAGAGATATTTTTATAGAGCTTAAGCTTTTGCTCTTATAGCTTTTGATTTAGCCAGATAAAAGTAAGTGTGATTATTCTCTCATATTTTATTTATAATAGAGATAATTTATTTAATGAAAATCGATTACTGGCTAATATCAATTTATAATTATTTTCCAATTGATCTAATGGGCTTAAGATATTTTATATTGACTATAGAGTCAGTATATAAAGTTAATTTAACAGAATGCCGATGCGAAAAGCAATAGAACATAGGGAGTATGTTATCATATAGTTATTATTATTAGTATTATCCTAATATCTTATTGGACTCTGCAAGCTATGCTTGATTTAGTTAATGCTAAATACATATATATATATTTTCTTGGTGCAATATTTGTTTATGCATGTATGTTCAAATATTCGTACACATCCATAATACATATAACTCCGACTGAGTGTCCGCCCTCTCTTGGCCCATTAGTAGTTCATATTTCTATAGCCTGTAGAGCAGGAATTGATAACCAAGTTGGGCATTATTTCTATCATTAATATGATTTTTCATTTGAGTACGGATCTTACCATACTCAAATGACAAATCATATTGATAATAGAAAGAGCTGAATAGCAGCCAAAACATAAAGGAAAAGAAGTTTCACTCTTATCAGCTCATGCCCTTAAAACATATGTACATTTTGCTATATAGTTACAGGGTATAGACGAGCCTTCAAAAATTGGCAGCACTGCCAAATGTGGGTCATTTGAATGAACGTCAATCAGAGCTGCAATGAGAGCGCACTACAAATAATAAATATCGACAGCAGACATAAAGTTTATACAAATGGCAAAACACTAAATAGATTTGCAAACCTTTTTTTTGTTGTTGTTAAAAATTATTGCAGTTTTTGAGATTTGATTTTGAAGTGTGCGCGTGTGTGTGTATGTATGTGTGTGTATGTGTGGACTTGAAACGTGATTCCAAATGGCAGCCGCAAAGCAGCCAAAAGACGCGACGACGAGACCACCGACTCATTGCCTCATTGTACAAAGTGAAAGTTCGTCAATTGTTGTCTATGTTGCTGCTGCTGGTGGTGCTGTTGTTGTTGTTGTTGTTGCTGGTGCTGTTGTTGCTGGTGGGCAGCAATCTTGCGTTTTGCCGTCTCATTTTCTGTTCGGTTTTGGGGCCGTGATTTGTGTTTGTATTGTATTTTAGTGCCACTTGCTGGCTTATGTAACGTGCATTACATTAAATTGTCTTTGTGTTAATCTGTTGTTGTTGTTTTTCGTTTTGTTTCGCCTTGCAGGAAATCGATGTCTTGACACTTGGCGCCAAAGATCAAGATCAGTTGATAGCCGATCGCAACAAGAGAACCATTGGACTGCTGCGCGAGCTGTTTCCGGACATAACCAAGGTGCGTATGATAATAGAGCGTAACACCCAGAGAACCCCCCCGAAAGCCCCCTCCGATAGACATATCAATCAGGTTAGGCCTATATCGACTTAGATCTGTAGCATCTGTAGCCACGTAGATCACAGCCGAAACGAACGCTGTTCAGCTATGCGGAGCGGTGTTCGGCTCTGTCTTTGTTAATCGTTGTATTGCCCGAACATTTCCTAGGAAATCAATACGCAAATCAATCGTGTAGTCAATAATGTCTTGCAACGCGTCGGACCCGTCGTCTTGGGCACGATTCTCAATCCGGGGCTAACGAGCCCGGCGGCGCGCAAGCCCAATGCCGATGACGACGACGATAACGACGCCGATGCCGATGCCGATAACAATAACGATGCGAACGAAGTGGGGCGGCCGCTCGATAAGGATTACGAGAGTCTACCCGATGAGCTAACCAACTTTGAGCCCGATAAGGACTTTGAGAGCCAGCCGCAGGACACTCCGGCAGGCAGCCCGTAGATTGCGTAGATCTAGCGTTTATTGGCCCCCAATTGATCCACTAGTTGATTATCTCATTTACCCAATCAAGCTGCATGCCCTCTATGTACTATACCCGTATCCGTATTTCTAACTAGACCTACGCCACTCCACTTGTCAGTAGTCAGTAGTGCACGTATCCACTACCCCAAACTAGACCTATACCCTTGCCTCTGCCTCTGCCTATGCCTATGCCTGTGCCTGTGCCTCTACCTCCGACTCTACCTCCGCCTCTACCCACGCCTGTGTCAACTCCTCTGCATGCCACCTATAAAAGCTTGACCAACTCTAACCACTACACGAAACCAAAACAGAACCAAAACAAAGCCAAAACACCGACATCCAAAGCCCAAAGCCAAACAGCAAATTAGAGCACATTGAGTCCAACTACACATCCATCAGACAATTGGCCAATCATCGAGTTGCAGTGCACAAATTTTAAAAAGCGCCTCAGACAATCAACCACAAAATAGAAATAACCGCAGCAGGCACAAAAAATAAAAATGAAAATGAAAATAGAAATAAAAAAAGAAAAACAAAAATAAAATAATAAAAAAATTGGATTAAAAAAAAAAAAAACAAAGAAAGAAGCAAAACAAAATCGAAACAAAATTTTATCATCTCAGCAGCAATTCATGGACGCCCGCAGAGGCGAGAGTACAAAAGTAAAACATAAACAACAACAAATGAACAACAACAACAACAAATGAACAACAACAAGAACAAGAACAAGCTATCATCAACTCAATTCACGGCGATACAGCATGGCTGTGAAGCCTGTGACAGTTTTTTGCATACCTCTCTGTCTCTCATTCCTAGGAAATCGACTCGATTGTGAATCGAATTATAGCTCAAGTAATACGCGTTGCCGGGCCGGGACTGCTCAATAGCATTCTGGCCGGGAATCGCGGCGCAGGTCGCCCTACCACGCCCTCCAGCAGCTTCGACGCCGATTTCGATGACGACGGCTTTGGCGATGATGACGATGATACTGATGATGCTGCATCGACATCTACATCGACTGCATCCACACCGCCCTCCTCCGACGACACCGGCACGCGGATCAAAATCGATTTGCCCACGGTAGCGCCGACAGCAGCGAACAAAGTGAGTGCGCGTAAGAGGCAAGACAATGTAACAGCATCAACAGCATCATTATCATCAACATCAGCAAGTAGTACTACTAGCACCACTACCTCCACCACTACCACCCCAAGCACTACCACCGCCAATAGTCCTAGCCCCAGCCCCAGCCCCAACCCAGCCAATAAGTCCTTAACAATGGCCAGTGAGATGCCCGTCGAGTTGCTGTCACGCGTTCTGGGCATTGAGCCAATAATCAAGACAACAACTGCAGCAACTGCAACTGCCACTGCAACTGCAACAGCAACAGCAGCAACAGTTGCAACTGAAGTGCCAGCAACAGATGCAACAACGAGCGCTGTTAATTCCCAATTAGCACCTACCTTCGACATCATTACCTCCACCCAGTTTCCCACAAATAATGACAACAACAGCAACAACAACAACAACGACAATAGCAACAACAACAACAACAATAATAATAGCAACAACAATAATAATAATAATATCATCGACGAACCACAATTGCTTACAATTATAGCCGATATAAATCGTTTATTAAACTCTACCAATTATTTTATTACAACCAGAGATAATTTAACAACATCTCCAACAACAACAACAACAACAACAACAGTGGCGCCTACAATTGACAACAACAAGAACAACAACATTACGAAACTTTTGCCCATCTATGAGTAACAACAATTGAGACACAAACACACACACAACAACAACAACAACAACAACAACAGCAACAGCAAAGGGAACAACATGCAACATGCAACAGTCAACAACAGCAACAACAACAACAACAATCATCAACAACAATTCTTTAACATTTTGCTGCCCCATTCACAATTGGAATTCATTCAAGCCGCCGCCGCAGCAGCAGCAACAACAACAACAACAACAGTTCAAGTAGTCTGGTCAAAACTAAATAGAAACAACAACACCAACAACAACAACAACAATAGCCATTTTCTGTTAATTGTATTTGTATTGTTTCTGGTGAAAGCAATTTAGTCGTCAACTAACTAATCAACGATATTAACCTTAGCTCTAAGCCAAATCAAATCTTTAAGCAAAAGCAAGCATTATTTAGCCACATCATTTGTCTAAGAGCAAACAGTTGCAGTAGTCACGCCCCTGAAACCGCACCCACCCCTCGCCACTCGCCTCACACCCATGCCCATGCCCACGCCCCCCGCACCCTAAGCCACAGTCTCTTAAGTGGTTTGTCTGTGTATCTCTGTAGCTGTGTATGTGTTTCCGTCCATGTGTACGCCCCGTCCACAGTATGTTAATTCGCAGCCCCTTAATTCTTAGTTGAAAAACCCAACAGTCGAGTCAAATAAACTAACCGTTCTCTAAAATGTACCCACCAATTGCACACACGCACCGCAATTCCTGACCACCATCAACAACAACAACAACAACAACAACACACAACAACCCACAACAACATTGCGCACACCCCGCACTCCGCACCACGCACCACGCACCATGCACCTCGCACCCCGTACTCCGCTCAATGCTCACCGCAAACCGCGTGCGAATCCAAAATCCAAATTTCAATCCGCATCGGCATCCGAATCCGAATCCGGCCCCGAATTGAAACCTGGTTGTTGTAGCAAATCGATGAGCAAGCGAACCGCATCATCTCCAAGCTGCTGCGCGCTCTGGGCCCCACCGTGCTGCGCACGGCCATTCAGGGCAACAGCGCGAACTCCGCCCGGCAGGACTTCGATGCGGACTTCACGGACGATGACGACGACAGCAGCAAGAGCGACAGCTCCTCAGGCTCCAGCAGCACAAGCAGCAGCTCCAGCGGCACTCGGGTCACCATCGAGCTGCCCACCTTTGAGCCAGAGGATGAGAACGAGATCGATGCCGATGAGAAGAGCAGCAGCAGCTCTACCACTAGCACCACCGGCGCCAGCTCCGACTCCGACTCCGACAGCACCACCGAGAGCTCCAGGCGACGATAATGAAATGTGCGTGTAATTTGCTACAACAACTAAGCGATGCATTCCGAAATTTCCATATGAATTGGCATTACTTTTAATGATTATCAAATTTTGTTCCGTGTTTTCAAAACAGCAGCGAAAATTGGCAAATCTAACCACAGCAACAACAACTGCAACAACCACCACCAACACGAACACGAACACCAACACCACCACAACCACAATAGGCACTAGACTAAATACAGCAAAAAGAAAATGCAATTTTGGCGAAATAGAATTCTATATATTTGTTAATGAACATTTTGTAAAATATTTTTATTGATGCGGGCATTCCTGATGCACTTCTAAATGTTGTCTCTTTACTCTATTAACTAATGTATTTTGAAACTATTGATAGCTACGACTCTCTCTCTTCCTCTGTCTCTTCTCTCTTTTCCTGTCTTTCTTTCTCTATCTCTCTCTATTTTTTGTGAATCTATAAGTTCTTTGAGACTCCCACTTAAAGTCACTTTCAGATTTTTAATATCTTTTCTTTTCAGTTTCCAGATTGAGTTATATTTATTTCTAGCTATTTTACTATAAACTTCATCTCCTTCAATATAACATTCCTTAAATCTAAATATATCTCCTATGTCTTTGAGACTCTTCTTTTCAGAAACGTTTTTACTACTCTTAGCACTTCAATTAGATTCTCTCTTTCTTTCCCATTATATAGATTTCTATACATTTTTATATACATGTAACTCTATCTCTATCTTTCTATCCATCTATTTTCTCACTCTATCTCAGCTGTCTCATTTCCTCTCTGTTACTCTATCTCTCTTTATCTCTCTCTCTCTCTCTCTCTCTCTTTCTCTCTGTTATTTTATACCTCTTCTTCTTTTACCTCAACAAGTTTTGAGTCTTCAACTTTTTTTTTTGTTTATTTAAATTTAATAGGTGATTTTTTACATTAACATTTAACTTGTTTTAGTTGTTAAAGCCCTTGTACATATGTATGTCTCGTATATATGCATATATGCACATATATGTCGATGTATCCATGTTTCTAAAATATATAAAAATACCTGTACTCCTTTGGCATTCTAGTGTTTATATATTAAGCGTGTATTGAAACAACTATCGAACCAACATTCATAACTGCACTTGAAACATTCATGAACGGGCTCACAATATTCACGGCTGCATTCACGATCTTCACGTACATTCCTCGATGCATATCGCATCGGCAGAGCGATCCACCTCAGATGTCATTAGTTCGCCTTATCGATATCATTAAAGCTTGAGCTCTCAAAGTAATTATTTGCTTACCATTCTATATACGCATATATATACCTATAGCTGTATATCAGAGATCTGTCAAGTCATATATCATTTGAGCCGAACAATCGTTGCAGTATTCGCTTCGAACTGAGTCCTCCGGTACATATAGAGTTTTTGAATCTCATTTTGAGTACTATGCAGATATAGTATTGGATAAAGTTGAGATTGAGAAACTGGTCAAATCGAAATGCTTAAAGCTCTTATCAGATCAGATATCAAAGCTTAGTAAAAACTCTTTAATAAATCACTTTCTCAGTCTGAAGCACTACTCTATCGCTATCTGTATATGTCTCCATCTATCTCTCTCTATCTGTCTCTATCGCTCTCTCACACTCTGTCGCTCGGATATCCATGGCCTAAGCTTAGAAATTTTTGGGTATTCTGCTGCAGCAGGGGCGCCCTTCCGCCTCTGCTCCCTGTGGCTTTATTGATTGCTCATTTGTCTATCTGCCTTTGTTTTCTTTTTTGTTTATTTTGAATCTTTTTTTCTTTATTTTCATGTTCCATTAAACCGATTCGATTTGTGCAAATAACCAAATATACAAATAATAATAATATGAATCGAACCAAACAACCAAACTGCAAAATGTTATAAAACAAACCAAACACAAACAAACAAAATCGAACCACTCTTTCGCAATGAAATCACCAACTGCAATTGAAACAATCGAAACAATAACGTTCCCAATCGAAATATTGTAAAATGTATACATAAATACACCAATTGCATTTGTGCACGTGCATTCGCTCTCATCAACAATTAATCAAATCGAATTTCGAACTTCGAATTCGAATGGCAAATCGGATGCAAATAATTGCAAAACAATAATCAAAAAACAAAAAATCCATCAACTGGCTAAACCCAAAACTCATAATGCCAAAACGAAATGTGTGCAACAAACCCTTAAATAACACTCCACTCCTGCCTAACCTTATATAACCGAAAAACTAACACACCCCCTCACACACCCCCACACACACACACATACACTCATACACGTTGACCGACCGTTGCCCGATGTCCCTGTGCCACCTTTTGCAAACCCTAAAAACTCTGCTACTTCACACACCCACACACACCCACACACACACACACACATATTGCGCCAAATACCGTGTTATGCAAACCAATCAATACACCGCAAAACCGCACTCACACACACACGTAACCATTTCCACACACACACACACACACACACACATACGCACATGCCAAATCCAAATGTACCACACACATGTACACACATATCAAATGCACATAATCAACTCCAAATTCGAAATTCCTTGCAATGCAACAAATGCCCATACATATGAAATTCCGTTGCAATCCTGCGGGCGAATCCTGTTGCGATCGCAGAACGGCGCAACCGATACGAAAATCGATCTGTCGGCGATCAACAAACAACTCGAGGAGACCATTCGCGTGGCCCGTCAGGTGAAAGAGGCTGAGGCAGCGGCCGCTGCCGCCGCCCAATCCTCTGGCTCGCCCATCGCCCAGGCGCCCATTCCCCTCAAGTCGAACGAGCCCATCCAGCTGAGCTTCAACAACGAGCTGTCCTCGGTCAGCGGCAACAGCGGCGCCAGCAGCGGCAGCAGCAGCAGCAGCAGCATTGGAGCCACCGATGTCAAGGCCCTCAACACCAACGATCTCCAGCTGTCCGAGTCAAAGTCTCCGGCCATAGACGAGCTGTCCTTGGACTCCGTGGAAGACACGGCCGACCTGGATGATCGCAACAAGAGGTAAGCGGCAGACCCCGCCCACCGGGCTGGTCCCACAACCACCTACGACACCACCCACCACAACAGCCACAAGTCACCATTGGCCGCCTAGAAATTGCTGTAGATTGCCAATCGAATCCAACATGAGTTAGAATCAACAAGTCTGAAACAATAGAAAAAGAGTTATATATGAATGTTGAATACTATGTTTCAAGACTTATAGTTCCATAGTTTCTTTCGAGTATTATAAACAGTTTGTTTGCAATTATGATAGTTTGTTTGCAATCAGTACGAACTTCCTTCTAAGGTAAAGACTTGACTTTAAGAATCAATCGTAGCCCTACAATGCCCTAATAAATAAAGATGACACAAGTTCCAGTTTTATATAGGTGAAAATGCATGTAGACTGTATCTAAATATCTAGGTCTGTTCTATCGATCTAAATATTTCTCTAAAAATTCTGTTTAATGTTATAAACATGTCTTTTATTGTATTTCCTAGTCGACAAGATTTTATCCAAAAACCAACACCTTGAGTGACATTTACAAGCTTATAACATTAGAAACTAATTCTTAGATAGGACTGCTTAGGAACATTTAAGGCTAAATAAATCGAGGCTCACATTTCAATTACATCACGATCAAGCATTCAGGTCTAGATCAACTGTTTTTCATAGATATAGAAATATGTAGATGTGGATGTATTTCAATCATGAGCAAGCATTCAGATCTGTAGTTTATCCATCAATTATTTACGATAAATAGGTATGTGAATAGATATGGATATATGTATGTATTTCCATGCTGTTCGCACAGTAATCATTTTGGATTCAGTGGCAATAACGTTAACCGATAAGACTTGAAAATTATACCCAATACACTCGACTAATTGCACACTTGCGCCCACGTTTCCTTCAATTTCTCCTGCAAATGCAATCGAACAAACATAAGTAATATATTCAAAAGGTTCCTGAGCTTCGGTGGTGCCGGCCTGGCCGGCGGCTCCAGCGGCGGCGGTACGGGCGCCTCGCCCAGCGGCAACAGCTTGGGCGGCGGCGCTGGAGGCTCCGGCAACTTCCTCCTGGACGTGGTGCGCGTAAGTATATAGCTCAGAGCTCGAGGCCCGAGTCTTTGGCAGCCGAATGACGCCCATCTCTCCCCTCAGCTCTTCTCAGGCAGCGTGCAGACCCAGCAAGGCGACGAGGCCGCCAACTCGGTCAGCGGCGGCGCCAGCAGCAGCAGCGGCAGCAGCACGGACGACACGGATGCTGGCAGCGACAGCACGCGCACCGCTGACGGCTACACCGAGGGCATTCCCGGCCCAGTGACGCGTCTCGTTGTCCTGGCCAATCGAGGACTGGCCAACCTGGTGCAAGACTTGATACTGGTGAGAGTCGAAGGCTTCGCTTGCTCGATCTATTGTCTCTAACATTTGCTTATCTCCTTCCCTTAGCGTGTCGCCGCCACGAGTGAGAAGTTCGTGAACTTCAAAGCCAAATTGATAACGGCCCTGATATAAGCCAGCTTGTTGATCCTTGGCCAACTCCTCACGGCCCTGCCTTAGTCAAGTCAACCCAATTGTACAGAGTCAACGCAGCCAGCTGCACCACGCCCACATTTCTACACACAGACACACACGCACACGCACACGCACACGCACACACACACACACACACACATAACGCGACACGCGCGCAGTACGCACACTCGATACTCGTCCACTCGTCCATCACATTAACGTTGTTGTGTTCTTTTATTTGACAATGGAAAACAATTTACAATCTTTAGCGAAATTTCTATTTCTTATATAAATACATACACACACACACACACACACACACGTATATATATACATATATAAATATATATCTAATTCAACGCTCTAAGTAGAGAAATATGTTTATCAAAATTTACAATACAAAAAGTGAAAAAGGAAAACTTTTTATTTATTTTTTTTTTACATGCAAATCGAAGAAGAAGAAGAAGAAGAAGAAGAAAATCACATACACACACACACATAAATACGATATACGAATGAAAACAAAAATCGATCTTGCTTTCTGTTTCTTCCAAACTTTTGCTTTCGCTTCACTTTTGTAAATATTTTGCTATCCTAACTTAGTTTAAACGTTCGCGATTTCCATCCACTCTCCCAAGAATGTCCCTCCCCATATATACATACATACATATAAATATTTTTTGATTACTAAAAGACGAAAACAAAATCATGACTGTGGTGTTTTTTTTACTATTATTTTTAAAACATAATTTTATGTAGAAAATACCAGTTTCCTTCACACACAATATATGTATTTTTTTTTTTTTATTTTTTTTTTTTCGCTTACCTCTTTGCCTTAATTATTAAATAATTAAACGAAATTTTCGAAACGCAAATTCATAAAAACTTGCTCAATTCTCTTAAATGTCAATCAGGATATGTTTATACGGATACACGACGAAGAAGAAGAAGACAACTATTTTTAAATGCAAACTGTTCTAAAATTATTTACCGTTTTTATTTACACTTAAGCAAATGTGTTTCTATGATTTTTAACAGTTTAAGTAAAATTTTACATGTATATAAAATAAAAAAGTTTACTTAAAATACTCGAAAAGATCTTTAAATGTATGGGCCGAATGAAACAAGTAGATCGTATATAACAATAGACCTCAAGTCTATTGAGGAATCACTTTTGATCAGAGAAGTATTTTGTAGAATTTCTCTGTTCTGGCTCTTCCCTATCCCGTCGACTATCGTACCCTGAGCTCATTGCAAGCGAGGCGAGATTATAACCCATAACTATATATATACTCTAATCCGTATCATTTCTTTTAATTGGGTTACCTTGACAATAAATATACTTTTGTGGGATATTTCCGACTTTGGCTAAACAGTTGAGTCATTTAAGCATCCAGAACCATAGTTAATAAATCATTTTTGTTTACCATAGTGAGGCAGTGAACGTATTCATGTGTGCGTATGCGTGTGTGTGCGTGTGTGTCTTAGGCCAATTAGAATCTCCAGGGTATTTGCTAGTCGAACACACCCAACAAGATAACCCTTGCGTATCTACAGTATGCAATTATTTTTACTTGTTAATAGAATAATAAATTTGAAGAAAAATCAATCGATTTGCTTTTTGTGGTTTTGCCTTTGATTTTATGGCAGTTGAAGGCCATTCAGAAGGTTGTGCGCCAAGATGAAGGAGAACCACTCGAGTTGGCATTGCAAGAGTTGGTTGTAGACACAAATTGAGTGGCGATAAATGTACATATACATGTATTTACATATAAATGTAAATAAAGAAAAACTAAATATATACAATAATATATGATATAAAATATTAATTGTATTATGACTCGAATGTGATGAGGGAAGACGAAAAGCATTCAACTCTTGTAATTAAGTCTTGGCGCTATTTTGATTAGAACTTCTAGGAATCACAAATTAATCCATCTAGAGATAAGCCAATGGCTTATTGGAATTTCAACTTATGATTCCTTTCAGGAATGCGAGCGCGCATTAGCTAGTCAGTTGCACCCGACTACAGAATTTTTACTTGATTTCAATGCAAATCTTAGCTTAGAGAGAGCCTGTAGCTATGCAAACCTGAACTTTTAGAACGATTCGAGAATCTTATAAAGAGATACATTGCGTAAGCGAATGTAGAACAATTCACCTTTAGTGCACTGTTTTATGTACATAGGAATATATAACAGAGCATACGACGGCTTTCGTGCGTTTTATTTGAGAATGTCTTGCTTTTTAGGGTATTCCCTAATGCCAGCATTATCATAATACTCAGTAGTACTAGTATCTCATATTTGTGCTCAAATACAATATTAAGTCTCTGTAGTACATACCCTTGTAAAACTAACTTTAAAATGTGTATTATTAAGTACCTGGATTTCATATATATGTACATACATACATACATATGTATATGCATATTGATACCGATATAGCTGACAACTTCACTCTTGGTACCCATTCCACTGAAATTTAGGGAGCTGGGCGTGAAGGTTGCGCGTGCGCTGCATGTGGCACAGACGTCATCAGCAGCCAAACGCACTTGAAAACCACTTCCGGTTAGGGGCACTAGGCAGGCAAAGAAAACAAACAGAAATCAAAAACAAAAACAAGCAAAAATATAAAAAATTTTACTGCTTGCAGTGCTGACGACGCGTCGACGGTCAGCGCAGATTGGCTGAATGCGAAATACGAAATGCGAAATGCAATAAGAAAGAGCAGCCACAAATATGTGGTTCACTGCTTATCCTGGGACGCGTCATTTCGAGTGGCGCACGAGCAATTAAAATTGCACAATTTAAATGCTTGTGCAAGCGGCGGCACGCGTCTTGTGTGGCAGAGCGGGACGGGCGAACGGCCCACGCGGGCATAGCCAGCGAAGAGAGGGAGAGAGGACAAGGAGCAGTGCGTTTGTTTTGACAAGTGCGCATAAGTACTGTTGGGATGTTTAGTTGTGTTGCTATCGTTGTAGTTGTAGTTACGACTGCCTCTGTATACGACTGTATATGTATATGGGCATACATACACACAAGTGTAGCGGTTCATGCACAATTTGTCGTCACTTGCGGCGACGATGACTTAATTTGTTTAGCAGCAGCCCACAATTATAGCAGCTGAGTCCCAGAGCTGACCAAAGAGTCAGCCTCTGCGGCCGTCGGCTGCTCATTCGCACTCTGAGCAGCGCTGCGTCCACACATACACATATATGTAGGCACGTTCTCCAGCACGAACATGGATATGGACATGGATATGGGCATGAATTTGGGCATGGACATGGCCATGGAGAGGGATATCAACATTAATATCAACATCAATGCAAGCGAGACCCTTGAGCTCTCAACCTACCTCCTGTCCTCGTTTGCCAGCGCCGACAGCAATGGCAGTGGCAGCAACTTTGGCGCCGATTCCGAGGACTCGCTCATTGGCCAAACGCGCAGGCAAGCACCGCCTAGACAGAAGATTAATGCACGGGAACGCCATCGCACTTTCAAGTGAGTTGTCATTTTGCAGTAATTGCCAAGTGCACTTCATTTGAGTGGTATTTACATTTGTTTAGCGTGAATGCTGCATATGAGGCGCTGCGCGGCTTGATCCCCACGGAACCCGTTAATCGCAAACTGTCCAAAATCGAAATAATACACTTGGCCAGCAGCTATATAACGCACCTACGGAGCACATTGCACGCAGGCAAGCAAAGCTATTACTTATTCGTTAACTTGCCGGTTATCCTAACACACAGTTCTTATCCAAATTCCTCTCATCCCGCCAGCAGGAACCGATAGGCAGCCCTGTTTGCGCCAGAAGTGGGAGCACAAGTGCGACAACGACGGCAACAGAGCTGCGGAGCGTGTTAACATTTGCACATTTTGCATGCGACCAAAGTTTTCACCACCTACGAGAAATGTAAAATAGTCTCCAGTTGATCTAATTGAATATAATATTAAATGTGTACATAAATAAATGCTATTCGTAACGCGATATTCTTACATTCATATGCGAAATTATTACCGCCACCTGTGCACTGGTAACGGTACTAAGCATTTTGAAATGACTTACCGAACTTAACACAATATTCAAACTTGACTTGTTAAATATAATGGTAGTCTGAAAATAAATTCGGACGACAAAATAAAAAATGTATTAAATTAACATTATATGTATGTACATATATAAAAGGACAACATACAAGCATTTTATACTCACCTTATATTTTTGTAACAGTCGTATATGAGTAATTCTTGCAAACAGAAATAAAATAAAAGAGACTTTTGTTGAATAGAGAAAAATTTAACTAATCCTAATTCTTTTAGTTATTTAAAGGAGAATTTCTTAGCATGGCAGTCTGTTTTAATATACAACAAATAAAATAACAATTTAACATACATACATTTTTGTTAACAGTGCCATAATGAGTTAAGCAACGATAACAAGTAGGAGCATCGATAGTTTGATATGGTTAGTGCTGATAGCCAGAAACCAACATAGATTTAATTCCATATATAATTGGTATTTATTTATTTTATAGGTATATTTACATTTTTTCGTGCACTGAAAAGCACCATATATAAATAATAGGCACATAAAAATATAACTTGGTGCTAAGCTTGCATATGAAATGTTCAATCGAAACTAACGTGCATTTTTTGCATAGGATTACATTCGATAATAACACTGGTCAGTGATAATAATAAGGTCACTTAATCGATAGTTAATAAAAAATGTTTGAAAATCACGATGACCTACTGTTAGCAGATAGATGAGCCATCTGGGTGTTGTATCGAAATTTACTCACATGACACTGTAAAACCTGTAATATTTGACAGTTAATTTTCAAACAGATGGTCGACTCATTTAGGCACTGTTAACTGTTTAGTATATCGGCTGTAAGAACTAAGACTATTCGATTACCGTACATGGCATCACTAACGCGTTGACTTGCAAATGGTAGCGGGATTTATTAAATTGTATTAGATCTTTATAGGTTTACTTTTGCTTTTCGGAAATGGGCGATATGCTAAATGTAAGTGAATACATATCTGCATGTCTTGTGTGATTACATGCATTGTCGTTCTTCTAGAATTCAGAGATGCTTAAGAAGCTGGGCATCGACAGCTCCAATCAGTGGATTATTTACGACGAGCAGTTTGAGAAGTTCTTCAACTTTTTGTCGGAAAATATTACCGACTCCAATATTTTAACAGAACAGGAATTACTGGAGAGTGAAGAGATGAAACTACGCGGCGCATGGCTTAAAGAGTCAGAGCGTGTCCTAAGACTGCAACAAATAGAATCGGAAAATCCTGGCCTACTAAAATACACGGCCCATGACGTTGACGCACTTGCCCGCGAGGTGGAAGCCATTAAGGAGGCAACCAAGGATTATTGCATACTGATCGACGAAATGCAGTAAGCAATTTATTAACAGCACAAAGCGACAATCTTGATTAGTAATACAGCTTCCATTCATCAAAGGAACACAAAGCACAGTCAGAGCAGCAAACTAAGCGAGCTGGAGTGTTCGATTCTATCATTGAGCAATGGAGAGAGGGAGCTATTAGGGGAGTGCCAGGCGAAGGCTCGTCAACTGGAAGAGGTGCAGCGAGAAAACTCCAAGCTGAGCGAGGATGCCAACAAGGGCTTCACCTTGCCGCAGGCGCCGCCCCTTTTCATGCACCAGATGCCGCTCGAGCAGTATTTTCTAAAATGTGACTCTTTTATGCAATACTTTACGCTCTACATGAAGGAGAATTTCAAGATACAGGAGTTTACTGAATTCGAGGACGCCGAGGTGAACATGCAGCACTTCAATAGCAATCTGGAGAATCTGCAAAAATCGTAAGTAGGCAAAGCGAATACATGAACACAATAGGTAATACTATTCACGCACAGCATTCAGTATCACACACTGGAGTATATAAAGGAGAAGGCCAAGGCGAAGGCCACCCAGGCGCTGATTGATCACGTCGATCTCAATAAAATCCATTGCATCAGCTTAGCAGACATGTTGCGCGAAACACACGAGCTGCAGCTACTCAACAGGAATCACCTGACGAGCACCTACGACACTCTGATGAATGCTCTGGCCATGCACGTCCAGCAGCATACGCAGCAGCGCATCGAGCTGGTTCTCTACGAGAACACCAAGCTCAAGTTGGAGCGGGCATTGCGTCGCCGCGAAAATGACAAGCAGCTGACGACTGTCATTTCCGATGCACTGTCCAACGCTGAGCTCATCTGGATAGGCATACAGCTGGACCTAGAGAAGAAGCGAAACTGTACGGACAGCTCCATCGGTCTCTGTATGCAGGCGCAGTCTAGCTGCCAGCGTATACAGGCGATGCGTTCGTTGAACGCCTGCTCTAAAGGCATCTATGCCGAGTTTGTGCACGAAATCGCCAGTCAACTATCAAGGCATCTCGGTCAGAACGTTCGCTCTGCTGAGGCCAAGAGCTGCTTGTTTGAGTATGAAAAGTTTGGCCGCCTCTTGACTAACTCTCTGTACAGTATGTTGACCCACAAGTCAGAAGGGTTTGCGCACAAACAGCTGGCCGAACTGTAAGTAGAGCCTTGGAATTATTGATCTGAATCTAGGGTTTATTGAATTGGTTTTACAGCAAAGACTTGGAGCAACTGCTGTGCCCGTTCGTCTATAATTCGCCGCTTGATCAACCCATGTTAGAGAACGTTCGATACTTGTATCCCATGTTTGAAGTTCGACAGCAACAGTTGCGCTTCGAAGACTCGCTTCGCCAGTTGCGCACTCAGTTCCAGGAAACGATCCTAGAGCGTATGGTTAGTCAGCAAGGAAACAATGTTCCCTCAATAATAGATAGTGCTTTTAACGTTTTGTCTTTCCCTTTCAATAATAGGACAAAGAAAAGCTTTGGCGCTATAGCAAACTCTTGTGGATTTGGTTTCTCACTGATCCGCAACGAATGATTCATGCCATTGATGAGGTAAAGAAGAGCTCAGCGAAGATCCCGGCGCTAACAACCGCCATGCTGCGCCCCATCGGCGGACTACAGCGCAAATGAATAGAATACATATTAACTAAGTAACAATATAAATAACATCGAATATTTATAGTAATGCATTCAGTGATTATAAATTGCAAAATGTCTGATAAAACATAGGTAAGCAACCGATGAATATTGCATTTAATACATAAGTACCTTAAATGAATATAAGTAATGTTGTTTTGTTGTCAATTCAACGAGAAACGAAATGAAGCATTTGGCAATTTGATGTGCAGCACTCTCTACTCTTCTAATTTGTGGGATATTCCGTCCCTCTCTACGTAGTGTTGGTTTGAACCCCTGTGAATAGAATAAAATATATGTTTGTATGTATGCATGCCATTTTGTATAAATTAATTTCACACTTTTAGGATAGTAAACAATTAGATAGGAGTTTAGTTGCAGTAAACGAAATTCTTACATAAATGTTAAGATCTTATTAATTTCTAAAGTGAATTTAATTAGAGCTAATATGTTTTAGAATTCAAATTGAAACACACCAAAAAGATGTAAATGTTTTTAATGAATAATCGATCAAGATAGTACATAATATGGTCACAAAATTAACAATCTGTTAAATGATTTTGTTTTCAATCATTTACAAATGTTAATTAATGAATTGTAGTATATATTAACACATATTCATTTATATTCAAATTCCTACACAAGCTATTTAGAAAAAAAAAAGAAAACTTGCCTTAATATCTACAATGTGTACAACTCTAACTAAATTCATGTACATAAAGATCTATAATTTGTTTCTGTAAATATAAAAACCTTTTTGCTTCCAACGAACTACTAGATACGTTTAACGGAGATACTAGCCCAGAATAATAAGATTAATATTAATCTATTATGTGTAATCTACTATCTGTAAATTATCTTTGAAACTACATAAGACTGTTATTGCATGTACGTCGATGGGCCTTAGGCTCTGAGACTTTAAGAATTATCGAAAAAATATGTTTGCTAAAAAATAAGCACTAAATAAGACCTAACAGGAATACTGCCATAATCATCTTCGGAAAGAGACTTAAAGAGTTCTTATAAAAGCTGGAATTAATATACAACACATTCTTTTCTTCCTTGTTAAGGATTTCTCGTCTTTCGCACAAAGAATAAGTACACAAATATTTTTATACAATTTATTGCAAATCATGCTTGAAGTATACTCCATGTAATTTTGCTCTTAAAAAGTCAAAAAGCAACGGCGCCTCAGAAGAGATGCGTGGGTATGCGAACACAATTAAGAATGATGTAAAATCCATCAAAATGAGTTTTTTGCTACTTAAACACTTACATTGCAAAAATGTATTCCAAATTCAAATATGTTCATTATAAGCCACAAGCTTAAACAGTTTTGATCATTAAGAATATGAAAATGACTCTGATATTGGTAGATATAATTGTCATGCCCCTACATTGATACCTTGAACCTTTTGAAAATTGGAAATAAAGGTATAAAAATTTTGTTGAAAAGTACATACATATGTAACAGGCAGAAGGAGGCGTGGCAGACCCCACAAAATATACAAACATATATATTCTTGGTGCGTATGCGTGAGTGCGAATTTTTATTGAAATACATATCAGTTACTCGAAGGGTTAAGGGGATCTCGTATATATATTCTTGATCAGAGCGACGAGCGAATGCTTGGACATGTTGATCTCATAAGAGCTAGAGACCTGCAATCGATAACTGCTCCCGTTATTTTTGAATCGATTTAAGCCATTATTGAAAATAAGTTATAAAATGATATCTTTTATATCTTTCAGGCTACAGTCTCTAAATTTTGAACACAGATTTTTGTTTATTTTAAAAAATTTCGTATCTATCTTAAGTCCTATCGCCACCCCCACCACCACCCCATCTCCCCATAGTTGTAAAAGGCGTATCTCAAATACTAGAGACTTGTGCTTTAGCAAATAAACCTGCTTCAATGTCCACAAGAAAAGTTATTTAACAATTAAGAACTTTCTTAATTGTTTGTTGCTCCCTTTGGTAACATGGATGGACATGGATATCATGGGGTTTTGTATCCAACAGTACTTTTACTACTACCACTTTTACCGCAGGTGAACCTAATTATTAGACAATCTCCTAGTGACAAAAAGAACTTTTCAAATAAACAATTTTTTGGACGGGCTGAAGATTTCTTTTACATACAGTTATCATATTACAAGACATCAAGCCGAAGTAGATTACCTTTTTTTTGGCATTGTCGTTAATTGCTATTCAACACGCACAGTGTGATTCTTGGTTAAGTAATTTCTAGAAATTTTGTTGAGCTGTGTAATTGGCAATCCTCATCAGCAACGATTGGTATTTCCTAAATTCAATAAAGGATGCCAGGCACACAGACGTGAGCAGCGGCTCGTCCCATGTCCGTTGAGCGGAAGTAGGCTATCAGACACCTGGAGAGGACTCCACGCCGGCTGATGCATTCGCTGCGTGCTTGGCATTTAATGTGACTGGAACGTGCAGCGGATGCATTAGCCAGGAGCTCTTGCCAGTTATGCCAATGTTAATAACATCATAATTTCCTAATGAATAAGAATATTGTAGATTTTAGTGCCATACTCTGTATGACGATTTAGATTTGTGAATGACTCTAACGGATTAATATTGATGAGAAAGGTTTATTGAAGACTATTAAGGACTGATGAAATTAATTATGGTATTTCTTCCAGAAAATACAAAGACAAGAATTCGATAGACTTTGAGTAAGCTGATACCAAATCTGTCCATTCGAACTCATTCTACTGTTTCTATCATATTCTGAGGACTTTGCAGTACTGTTATTTCCATATCTTGATCTAATAGGCTCATGAATGTTTATACTTTCGGATTGGTCGTGGATTCGATGCTTGAACAATCTTAATCGGAATGTAAAGTTAATTAAACTTGATTTGAGAATTCACATTTATTTAACTATTGTTAAAATGTCAAGTTCCAAAACGTAAAATATTAGTTAATGTGTATACTACTCTACATATATTAAGTAATGTACAAAACCAATATACCCGTTTCGGCTGTGTGCGATACACAAACGTCGAAATAAGTCTATTAACTGGGTGCATCGCCGAAAGCAAATGCAAATAGATATGGAAATAGTTCGAGTCTGGGCTGGGGAAACGGAACTCGGGCCTTTGTTGCAAAGTCAGAGAGAAAAAGTACATATGTATATACACTGGGTGTGAGTGTGTGAAGGGGAGAGAGAGGAAAGCCAAACAATAAAGAGGAGTAAAAGCAAAGTAAATAAAAACAGCCAAACGACTTGATAAAATATTTGAAATTCATTTCGCGCCGCCGCTTCGATCGGCATTTCGATGACAGCATTTAATGGGTATTATGTAAAGGTTTTTTGTTGTTGATATGCTTGGACGTTGGCCAGCAGCGGTAACAAAGGTCAACCACACGCATGCGCGCTGCCGTTGAAAACCTGTAACAGCAGTTATACCAGCTATATGGCTGCAGACATTGATTTTGGTTCCGGCCAAGCCCTAATATACATAAGTATCTCTGCGCTGGTCTTTCTCTACTCTCTCTCTCTCTCTCTCGCTCTCTCGCTTTTTATGCGCAATAAACGAAGACCATGCCCCAGCAAGTCAAACAAGATTCATAACGAAGACAACACCTGTTGCAATTGACCCAGTTTAATACAAGACCTAAAGATGATTCGAACCAAATGGCAATAAAAATATACTTTAATACAGTCCCCAGAAATCAAATTTCATTACGTTGACAATACTTTTGATTTTATTACCAATTTTAATTATTTTTATTTGTTCGTTTTTGTTTTTATTTTTATTTCACCTATTTACTTATTTATTTTTAGTTTTTTTTTTTTTTTGTGAAAGCTGAGCTTGCTTACCAATTTTTTTTAAATAACAATAACACTTGTGTAGAGCTCTGTAATTTAAAACTTGTAAATGCTTGAATGCTGTTCAGATTCGGATCTGAATCATAAATAAATTTTAATCATACTTTGATTGATCAGATTATATGAATATATCATATCCCAATAAAAAGAGCAACCGGTTGGATACATTTTAAATTTAGAATCATTTTTTTATCACTGAAGGTTAACTACATTTTTAACAAAACATAAATTCATACATATGCATATTTATATAATTCATGTTTTTGTTGTTTCACATTCCTTCCATTTTGAAAAATATTTTCTTGTCTTTCTTCATATATTAGGAGCACATGAGTAATATGTGAATATTACTAGAAGTTGGCATATCCTTTCCTTACTAATTCAAATAAATAAAAAAAATTTAAAACCATCCTTTAAATATATATAATTTGCAGTAGATCTCTATTAACAACAGAATTCTGCTTTTTCTCCTTTTATTTACAGATACATACATACAAATGTTATCTACTAGCTCCTAACCACTTGTAAGTTGAATATGCAGTGCAAATAACAGTGCCGTTAGCTAGGAATGACCGTATTGACGGAGTTATGCAACTCTGTCCTTGCATATTCAATACATATTTCCGCTAACTATAAATGGAAATTGATTTTGAAATGAAAGTAACAGATCTATGTTAACTGTTAACAACTACTATTAACAGAGCTCTGTTATACCGCCGTATATCCTGCTTATTAAATTCAGGCTACCTACTGCTGCAAATTGAATTTGCGCTGCAATAACAGTGCTCTGTTAGCTGCTAACGGCCGCTGTTAACAGCGCTCTGCCGGCGTCGCACGTCGACGCTTTGCGGCTGCGCAGCTCGAAAAACGTGTTGTTGCCTTATGGCTGACGGCTGGCTGGTGCGCCTCTCAGCAATGGGCCAGCAGCGCCTGGTCTACGCTTTTTGGCCACAAACGCGAATTCAGTGCAACGGCAACTCTTGAACGGTAATGTTGGCATAGCGGTTTCCATCCACATTGCTGGAACGATTGCTGGTTAATTTGTACGCGAGATGAAATCAAAACTGAAATGATTAACGGCAAATTTGAAAATGAGATTTATTTTTCTGAGCAAACATTGAATGCCCTCAATGATTAAACATTTTTGTTTTGTTTTTGCTTTTTTTTTGAGTTGTGTGTTAATCCAAAA